TTCTTGTGGTTTCTTTTGACACTGATTTCCAATTTAATTGCACTATGGTCTGATAATATGCATGGGATAATTTTAATTCCTTTGCCTTTACTAGCATGTTCTATGAGCTAGTATGTGGTCTATTTTGGAGAACATTCTGTGTGTAGCTGAGAAAAATGTGCATTCTGATATTGTGGACTGGAACACTCTGTAGACATCTACTGAGTCCATTTGTTAAAAACTTTGGTTTAGTTTCTTTGTTAACTTTTTTTGTCTAGGTGATCTGTCTATTTGTAACACTGGGTAGTGAGACCCTCCATTAGAACTGTATTAAAGTGTGTTTGATTTTACATGTCCATTAATATTTGTTTTATATAGTTGGGTGTGCTAAATAGTATTTGGTGCATATATATTTATGATAGTTATCTTTTTCTCTTGAATTTTTTCCTTTATAAGGATGTAGTGACCTTTTCTGTCTCTCTTAATCAGTCACAGCTTAAAAATCCACTTTGTCTGCAAGTAGAATATCTATCCCTACTTTTTTCTGCATTCCTGTCACATGGAGTATTTTTTTCCATCCTTTGACTTTCAGAATATGAATTTCTTTTTGAATTAAATATATTTCTTTTATGCAGCATATTGCTGCATCTTGCTTATTGATTCATTCTGCCAGTCTGTTTCTTTTGATTGGTGAATTGAGACCATTGATGGTTATAATTGATATGTATTGAATTTTCCTTCTCATGTTATTTTCTTATTGTTGATTCCCTTTTATTCCCCTCTATTTAATTGCTTGCCTTTCCTGGTAGATTCATTCTGCTGGAATTCATGGAGTTGTAGTTCTTCTTTTCTCTTTTTAGAATGTCCTTCAGAACACTTTATTTTGTTTTGGTTTTTTTTTTTGGTTTTTCTCCGGCACCAGGAACCGAACTCACGACCTTGCGCTTGCCAGGCAGGCGCTTTGCCGCTGAGCTAAATCCCCAGCCCTCCTTCAGAACACTTTAGAGTGCTAGTTGGTGTTCATGAATTTACTCTGTTTTTTTTTGTAATGGAAGTATCTTATTTCTCTAGGAATATTGATAGCTTTGCAAGGTACATCAATCTGGGTTTGAGATTGTTTTCTTTTAGGACTTGAAATACTTCACACTCTCCTTAACCTGAGGGTTTGTGTTGAGAAATCTGCTGTGATTTTGATGGGCTTTTCATTATAGGTGATTTGATTCTTTTCTCTAACAGCTTTTAATATTTTATTCTGTTGGATTTCTGGAATCTTGACTATTTTGTCCCTTGTTGTAGTTTTTATAATGGCTAATTAGAGTGTTATAGGCCTCATTTAACTGTGTGTCAAATTCCTTTCCCCCTGCTTGGGAAGTTTTCTGCCATTACTTCTGTGAGCAGGTATTTTATGTCATTTTCCCTACTTCCTGCTTTTCCATTGACTCTGGTCAATCCTACGTTATTTTCCTATGCATCATCTAGTGGCTTTTGGATTGATTTTTCATAGTTCCTTGCTATTTTTAAGAAATCTTTCTTTTCATGATGGCTAGCCATAATCTTGTCTTCTGTATCTGATATCCTGTCCTCACACTGAGTATACTTTCAGTGGAATTTTTAATCTCCTGGATATCTATTTGAATCTGTCTCATGGATTCTATTTCTTTCCCATATTGGATGTTCATGACTTTCATCATTTTCCTAAGCTCCACTATTTTTTATCTGTATCTATTTTAGAGTCACTAACCATGTCTTTCATTATGGTCACAATCTCTGAAGTTATCTTAAAAATTATTTCCAATTTGATTTTCTGTAGAATTTTGTTCACCTGCTTTATTACTTTTTCTCTTACCACTTCAGAGTACAAGAGTGTGGGTTTAGAGTTTTTCCACCTCTTTGCTCCTTGGGTTTGCCTTTATTGAGTGGAATTCTGAGGTTGCATCTTGTTTAAGTGTCTTTTCATTTTCTATTTTTTTAAGTCCTGACATGGTTCATATAAATTTCTTATGGCAAGTAGTTTTATTGCTAGTCTTTAGAATCCTTAGGAAATGACTACTTCTCAGAAATATCTTCCAGGTGTGGTTGGCTTTTGGGTTTTGAGTCTGTTGCAAGATCTTACCTCTTTGATGTATTGGGGATGACAAATTGCTGCCTATTTCTCCTTGACCTTTGTTCTTTGGCACTCAGGCTATAGTATTTTTTATGACCCTTAGGCAATCTCAGTCTTGGCATACCAGGAAGAACTACTGATTAGAAAAATTGTGTCACCTTGGCTAAAGAAGTGCAATCAGCAGTATCAATAGCATTAAACACAGTCTAGAGAATGATACATTTTGTTAACTATTTATTTGCCACCTTTAACCTTATGAACTAGATTTGTGGTTATGTAACAAAATCTAAAACAAATTAGAAAATTGTATCCAGTAAATATGCTCTCAGTATGGTAATTTTAGCCTCAAGGGAGAAAATTTTAAAGGGGCTATGGGAAAAAATAGGGAAATAGAAGAAAAGGAAGAGATTAGCAACAAAGCTGTAGGACTAAGAAAGATTATACAAATTTTGGGAAACTGATAAAGAAATCAGGAAAGAAAAAGAGGAAGAAATATAAATAGGAACTGGACAGAACAACAACAAAATCCAGAAACAACTTTTACTCATATAAAAAACAAGAATAATCAAGAAAAAGAAAACAAAGAGAAGAAAATAAAAACAAAAACAAAAGAAGAAGGAAAAAAGTATTTACTTCAAGTCATATCTCTGCTGTCACTGGTAGACAGTTGTGCAGGCACAGTCCAGATCTGTGTTGATTAATCCCCGCAAACCTGTCATAGATTTTTGGCAGGACAGCAGATAATCCCAGCAAGCCTACACCTTTAGTTCCACTGAGGTTCATCTGGTTTCTGGCTGTGATGCCGAAATTTGACTTATTCTGCCTGCAACAGTCTCTGTGCCTCATACCAGCTTGAACTCAGCTCTTTGATCTCCTATTGTCTTGAATTTGGTTCTACCTTACCCTGACACTTGGAGCCATTGGATGGAGCCAGCCTGCAGCTGCTTTGAGTTCTCAGCTCAATTGGTCCCTCTCCAGGATGGCTGCCAGCAAATCACCCTCCCCTGGGGGATGTCTGAACCTAAATAATGCACCATCCACTGCAATTTGTGTTATCCACTACTCAGTTCTACTAGTGCATTTCTCCACAGAGGCCTCTGGGGACACCAGCAGACACTGTGCATCTACAGGTTCAAGCCACCCCTCCCAACCAATGAGTCAGGGCTCGGAGAGAAAGTGCCACTTGCCACCTCCTTCTTTTTCATTGAAGTATGTCTTTGCTCTCCCTGTGGGTTTTAATTCTTGCATTAGATCCTTGTTGGGTCCTGGGGCCAAACTTTTTCCTTCTTCTCTTCCTTGCATTGCTATATTCCAGTGTCTGGACACCAAATCTCAGAGAGACTGTCTCTCTGCTCTTCGTCACTTTGCCATCTTCCTGGAAGTCTAGAGTGCTTCCAAATAGCTGGTCCAGAAATCAGTTTAGGCCCATGTTCTCCTTCCAAGCAAATCTCTCTCTCTACCTTCTTCCCTTATGCTCCTTGATGAGACCATTCCCAGCAGAGTAGAAGAAAGGTAAGTCTGATAAGCTGCCATGATGTCTTCCCTATACAATACTTAATTTTTAAAAAAACTAATGGTTTATACAAATACATTAAAAAATTAGTGACAAGAGTAATTGTCCAAAAGTAATGGATTTTACTAAAATTACTTCTTATTAAACTGAATTTGAAGCACCACCTGTAATTTTTAAAGCTAGTGTAGCCTCACCTTATTAATACAGAAATTCTTTTCATGTTATTGAAAGACATTGACATTAAGCTGAAGGGATGCTAGAACTTGAAAATTTAATTCTCTTCAGTTTTTGTCTGCTACTTTGTTTTTGCAGCACAGGAGACTGAATGCAGGGCCTTGCACATATGAGGCAAGTCCTCTACCTCTGAGCTATATCCATTTCCCTTTTTATTTTTGAGAGAAGGTCTCACTAAGTTCTCGCCCAGGTCTCTCCCAGGCTTGTCTTAAACTTGACATCCTCCTGCCTTAGCCTTGGGTATGCACCATTATGGCCTCTGTGTTATTTTCCCCTTCTCCCTCTCCATTCCACTCTTGCTTCTCCTTCGCCCCATTCCTCTCCTTCTGCCCCACCATATCATTTTTCTGCATTTTGATGAGCTGCTTCCAAATTCTAGCTAGAAATCAGGATCTATGAGAAATAGCTTTTCATTCCTAAGTAACTAAAAACCCATTGCCCTCTAGAGGTAAAAATGTTCTGAAATGTTCACATAAAATAGCTTCAGGCTTTGCTACCTGTCTGCTAAACAACACTCAAACTTCACATTCAGCCTAGGGAGCTACACTCAGGTTCTAAATGAGTGCGTGTTTCATTTAAGAGTTTTTCAATCACTGAGAACTTGAAATCTTAAAAAGCGTTTTCTCTCCTGACTTTTTATAAGACCAATTGGGCATTGTTTTAGCAAGAGGTTAAACTGTAACTCATTGCCTCTTAGCCAATATTAGAGTGAAATGTGCTGATGTAAAGAGTAGTGAGCAATTAGATTTTCCCCCTAATTAAGGTTATATGATCTTTCCAGCAATTTCAAATCAACTGATTAGTATTAGCCTTCAATCAAAAAGACTACGAGGGGCTGGGGATTTAGCTCAGCGGCAAAGCGCCTGCCTGGCAAGCGCAAGGTCGTGAGTTCAGTTCCCGGTACCGGAGAAAAACCAAAAAAAAAAAACAAAAAGACTACAATTTGAAAGAACTCACTCTGCAGGCTAGGAAATTAGCATGTTTTCCCAATGGAAAATCCTGCTGGAAACATTGAGGGCAGTTCCACCATAGTGTTGGTTGAGCCAAGCATCAGCTGACAAAGGATGAGAAGTGGATGTAGCTCTCACTCGTTTTGGTATCACTGGATGCCTTGTAATAGCAAACTGTATGGTCATGCATGTTTTATTCTCTCTTTGTTGTGTTTTCCAGAGGATAACCAGTTGGCGATAGAGTAACAAATGAAAAGTAACCTGATTCCATTAACCTGCTTACCTCTGCCTGGGAATGATGGAAAGGAGCAACCTTTCACTTTGAAAGAGTGGAACAGGTATGGAATAGCTCCTTTCATTATTCCCTTCTTTTAATTCTTTGCACATCTACTTCCAGGCCAATTGAAAACAGCAAATTGCTCCTGTTTGAGAACAGAATCGGAGTCCGAGAAACAGGTACTGTGGGTTATTTGTAACATTTCTGAATTGCCCCACCTTCAGTCGCTGATTATATGAACACTAATGCAATTAAGAGGCAATTATTTTCAAATAGCAAATAAGTAATCATACTAGGAAGAGTGGTTATTTTAAAATACAGGGTGAGCATTTTGGATGTATGTGTAGCTTAAAGATACATGATTTTGATTATGAAGATTTTGCTCTACTAAGTAGATTTCTGTAAAGGAATCATAGAAGTATTAACAAAATAGTGCAGTATGTTGGTTTCCCCAGTGACAGCCACAAAACTGTGTTCTCTGTGTTTAAGGGGCTAATATACTCTGCCCACATCCATTTTCTCAGTCATGGAGGGATCCTGCTAAGAAAGGCATAGTTTGACTGTTTTCCCACTTTTCAAAATTCACATAGTAGATACAGGTGAAGCTTCTTTCACTTCTTTTTTTTTTTTTTTTTTGTTCTTTCACTTTCAAGGGAAAATTTGTTCTCAACATGAACAATGTAGAACATCATTCTTAGGACTCCTGGGATTAGAATATTTAAGACACTTATGTTGAGTCATTGCTCATCATCATCAGGGTGTTGTACATTCTTTCAATAACTTTTACCCAGAAATAGGTGAACTGCATATGACTTGGTAGTGACTTACAGGGGTCAGTGTGCTAAGAAATTATATATTAATGGCAGCTCGAATGTCATTTTAAGCTCAGAAGACTGTTATATCATAGGCGATCAAAACTAATTTATTTAATGACTCTACATGGAAACACTCCCATTATGTAGCTTATAGATGAAGGACTATGAATAAATAATGAAGAATTAACTTTTGCAAAAGAATATTAGAATTCAAAAGACTACAAAAAAGAATTCATATTACTATTATTGTATTATATATAAGGTCTTAAATATGGTTATGGCTCCATTATTTATTTAAAGTTGTTTAGGAAGATTTTTATAGTATATCTCGAATACTCTGTAGTTAGTATGTCTTGAATACTCTGTAGTTAGTATGTCTCAGGGCATAATATAGTTTTGTACATGAAGAGTTTCAACATATTACTCTATATCTTCTAGATATAGAGTAATTTAGATGACTAAATGTCATCTAAATCAATAATATATGAAGAGTCTGGTTTCTAGCTCATCAAGGAGACAGAAAAGTGTGTTGTGGCCTGATGCACAAAGCAATCTTATAATCGTTTATGTTTCAATCTATAGAATAAGTTAACTAGTAACTACACTGACCAATTTCTTATGTTCCAATATAATGCAAATAGACTTTTTTAAAAGTGTGTTTATTAAGATGTACTCTCTATCTAAAATGAAAATTTTGGGGAATAAGATAACTAGGACAATAAACTAAAATTTTTGTGCCACCCATTCTGAGTAATCATCCACACCTAAAGCACTAGTCAGCTGCTGGATTTCACTTAACAGAAATAAATTATGATGTTGTTAGATTTCTAAATGAAATAACAACTTGGAAAATAACAAACCAAAGGAAAAACTTATTACTACATCTTTGCATGAGTTTCTATGTATGAAACTGAGAAGCAGAATCTGCCTTCCTCTTTGCATTAGAAAGGGGAGTGGAGAAAACCATGGTCTAAAGCATGGACACATGAATCCCACACTGCTTCCAGGGTTGTTCTCTGAAGTGCTTAATATAGCCCTCTCAAAGCCCATTTCCCTTGTTCTGCACCTGGGATAAATTGGAAGGGTGCAGCCTTAGAAAAAATTTTCTGAGGGTGCAAAAGGACTTGCCAGGATCCCTGGGTTGTCTTAGTGCTGAGTAGAAAGGATACTGGACCAGGTGCTGCACTCTAACCTCCAGGAACCTCAGTGTCTTCCCTGTCATATGCATGAATGTCAATGCTGAGGCTGCTTTGCTCACAGGTATTGGTGTACCTAGCAAAAATGGTGCCTAATAAGTCTAATGCACCCCATTTCTATCACCACCTACTCAGCAGAAAGAAGAAAAAAGTAAGAACCATGAATTTTGGAATGGAGAGAAAAGAGTAGTTTTGTTTTATTTCTTCCGTAGGTGGCAGGAGCAAGTTTAGCAAAGATTAGAAGGATATAGGACTATGCATGATGTGGTTTCCATAACTCTGAGAATAGCCAGGGCCATCCAGAGATGCCTCAGGTAGTTTTGACTCAGTAGCCAGGAATGTTCATTTTTATCTGGCTTACAAACCAGGCCCACAACAAAAGTTCCTGCATTCTTAAATAACTTATTTCCTAATTCTCCTTTAGGAACTCCCCTTAGTTTACATATAGGATCAGATCACTTATGTCAACATATGGCTCTATGCCATCCTTGTGGGCAGACCTCAGGAAAAGACAAATCATCTGAATGCCAATTTATTCACTCACTATGGGACATAATTGTCATATGGGCCAGCGCAAGAACATGTGATCAGTCTATTCTCTTTCTCAGTGAAGATCTGCATAAGATGCCAAAACAAAATTACAAGGCAGCTTGTTGTGCATGGAGTTAGATGGGTCAAATGTTTAAGAACATCAAGATGAAATTGCTGCATGGGTTTCTCTCAGGGAGAACTGCCCACCCAGTGGGACTTAAACCTTTAGGCTCTTTTTTCCCTGAGTAGTGTTTACATGGCCCATCCAGCTTTTGCCTCTGAATTTATTTTTCTCTGTGTGCCCATGTCTCAGCACACTTTTAAATAACAATGCAAAAACATTCAATAACTGTCAGTGACATTTATGAGGTGTGGTCAAAATATACACTGAATTTATTTAAGTTTTAGAATTTATTAAATTAAAGGACACATTGCAAACACCTACCCCTCAAAATGCTCTCCCTTTCTGTACACACACTTATCCCATCATTCTAGCCACTCTCTGAAGCATTTCTGGAAGTCTCCTTTCATGTCTTTACGAGGTATGATCAAAGAATACTGTGAATGCTGTTGTCATCCAATGGAAAGGCAGGCTCATGGAAACATTACAGTGTGTCCCCATCAGCGGATTCATGGGATTTGGCACTGCATAACCTCTGGCTCTTTGCAAAGTCAAAATGACCATGAAAGGTAAACTTTCTGAATTAATTCAGGATATCGAGGTATCCATGACAACACAACTAAAAAAGATTCAGAAGGAAAGGACTTCTATAACCGCTTCAGAAAGTGGCAAGATTGATAGGACACATATATTAAAAGCAAGGAATGTTAATGACAATGTGAAAAAAATAATGACAATGTGTCTTTTACTGTAATAATTTTTTAAAATTTATTTACCATATTTTTCAATCATACCTTGTGTACTTTCATCAGGTTACACTAGGTCTTGCAGATTTCCAGCCACTAATGAGCTCAGGGTATGATGGTGAAGAAATTCATGGTGATATAGACGATAGCCCATGTTGCCATGAAGACTTATGTGCTCCTCAGATAAAGGAGAACTAATTGGCAGAGATATTTCTACTATAATTAGTTCTGGCCAAAATGACTCAAAAGATACTTGTTGAAATGCCTAGATAACCTCTAAGTTCAAAGAATTTGAATTATGATGTTGATGCAATTAAATTATATAAATTGACAAAATTGTATATATTTATAATAAGCAGTATATTTTGATATAGGTATACATTGTAGAATGGCTAAATTGAGCTAATTAACAGAGCCATTGTCTCACATACTTAGCTTTTTTATGGTGACAACAGCTAAAATCTACTGTCTTAAGAATTATAAGGACTATAATTCATAATGATTAACTATAGTCACCATGTGTTTTTTTTTTGTTTTTTTGTTTTTTTTTTTTCTGGTACGGGGAATCAAACTCATGACCTTGCGCTTGCCAGGCAGGCACTGTGCTGCTGAGCTAAATCCCCAGCCCCAGTCACCATACTTTACAAGAACTTTCTTGAGCATATTCTTCCAACTGAAATTTTATATCTTTTGACATCTATAGTCTGTCTGACTACAGTGCACTCTCTGAATGGCACACTATGCTGCCTTCTGTAAAAATAGTTGCTGTTTTTTCTTTGCACTTACTATGTCCTGCAGGTATTATATGCATTATTTCTAAAACATTAAGATAGTCTTTTGGGTGAGTATTACCCGATGCTTAGGTGAAGATGTCAGTGCTAAATGGTAGATATAGGAAAGCTCCGTCGGTGTGCTTGTGTCTCTGAGGCCTCCGAAACAATAATACAGCAGACAAGTAGCTCCTAACAACCTCCAGTAGCCTAACCCTTTCTGAATAGATCACAGGAAAAGTAGCCCTCTTAGGGCAGCACCCAGGAGTAATGGGGCGAGGGGGAGGTCTAGGACTTGACAGCTACAGAGGCACTCTAACCTAAGTTCCAGAAGAGACCAGGAATGTTTTCCTGATATTTAAAAAAGGAGGGGGGATTGTTTTATATTTTTAACTGTTGTCCACTGGCTAGCTCAATAGAGTTGGAATAAAATTGTTGGCTAAATTTGGAAAATATACAAAAAAGAAATTATACAAATTCTACCCAAAGTAAAATGAAATACTTAAATTTGCCTAAAATTTGAGGATTGATTCTTAACACTTCTGAATCAGCTACATGTTTAGGTAGCATTGTCTTCAACGTAACCGTGTGGATGAGGCCGTGTTCCATCTGTATGCTGCCCATATCCTTCGATCCCCTGAGTGGGAGCTCTGCTTATCAGTCTTTGCAGTTTTCTCGCTTCATGTTGCAGCACCACACAAGTATACTTCACACTGTCATTCTGTAAAGTTTAGAAGTGGACCATCTTTCTCCTTTAGAGAGAGGAATTTAGTGTGCATAACCTTCAGGGCTATTCTTCCCTTTGGTTTTTCAGCCTGAGAAAATGGCATGTAACCTACCTAACCAAAGACAGCGGTCTATGTCAACGACGGGAGAAACTCTGTATGAAACTCTTGGTCTGCACAAGGGAGCATCAAATGAAGAGATTAAGAAAACCTACAGGTACAGATGCACTTCCGTGGTGATAGTTCCTATGCTACTAGTAGTGGTTATTTTGTAACTGGCAAGTAGCTGCAGTTAAAGGCATAAACTTCTGGCCAAGATCAAATAATCCTACTTTGGTCCCTGTGTTCCCTGCTCTGCAATATAAAACAATAATGATTTTACAAAATAATTCTCTCGTGATATAGGGGAAATAAATGTAACTCTCAACCTGATAGATGTCAGATATGCCAAGTTTGCATTCTTCAAAATTGAAGAATGAATTCTGAGGGACAATGGAGGTTAACAGTAGGAAAATTATTGGGGAGTAGGAATAGCTCCTGAGAGATTAGAGGGGCTCCAAGTGGGTTGCCAAAGACCCCACTTTACAGAGGAAGTTTTATAGAGCAAAATCACAAGAGAGGTACAAAGTCATAAGGTGGGCACAAAGCAGGACAAAACTATGAGCAGCCAGCTAGGTTACATGTTTGACCATTTAGGTAATATTGATCCAATAGGAAACTGGCCATGTAGCAAGTGTACCTAGATGTTAATGTTCATTTATTATTTATCTCTCCAGGAGGCATGCAGGCGTGGTCCTTTTGTCTTTATTTTAAGCCTGGCCTCCAACAGTTGTACCTCTGGCCATAGTTGTAATGTGACCCCACCCCTCTCTGACTGCCTACAATATTTCTACCTAACTTAACTGTCTATAATAATACCAAACCTTAGGAGAGGGTAGCAGTAATTTAGGCCAGACAGAGAAAAAGATGGAGAGAAGGAGGGACAGCGAGGGAGAGAGAAAGGAGAAAGGGAAAGGGAGGAAAGATGGGAGGGAGGAGAGAGAGAGAAGGGAGGAGAGAGAGAAAGAGAGAGAGAGAAAGAGGAGAGAGAACTACAACCAATAGCTATAATCTAACCCATGTGATACATTTCCAAATATAGTAAAAGGATCTTTCCCCTCCCTCTTTCCCTTCTTTCTTTCTTTCTTTGATAAAAAAGGATTTATCATAATTACTATCTTATAAACTATGCTATTTACGCCCTTAAATTTGATCTTTTATATCTGATTTTATACTGTTAGCTACATTGAGGAAAAAGTGAAAAAGCTTTTAATTTAATGCTCCAAGGAATAAGTACATAGAGACAATATAAAAAATTATTGGAGAAAATTTGAAAAAAGAAAACAGTAACATTTATCCATAATTCTACCCTAGAAATAATTAACATTGATATTTTATTTCCTTCATCTTTTTTCTAGAGAAGATATTTAAAATTTAAATTAATCTATATTCTCCAACTATCTTTTTAATGTCTGATAATGAAAATATCTCGATGCTACTGACTTTTAATGGTTGCAGCCTATGATTATTCTCTAATTTATTTCATTATTTTGTAAGCTATCATTTAATATACAAGTTCTTTTATTTTTCCCTATATTTAATATGTCTGTGTATAAATCATGATGCATATTTCCAGTTATTTGCTTATTGTAGAATAAAGGTATGCCTTCATGGGAAATAGGTGGATCAAAATATAATTTTAATGTTACTTCTTGACTTCATTTTGAGTTTTTTTCTTTTTTTAATTCACGTATATAAATCTAAAATTCTTATTTATATACATTTAGCCATTTCCTTTATGGCTCCTGTTTTACCTGTCACAGTTAAAAAGCTTTGCCCAATTACAATATCATAATATATTAATTTCTGTCTAATACATTTATAATTTTGCCTTTACACTAAACCTTTGGTCTATTTGGAGATTTTTTTTTTAATCTAAAAAATGAGATAGAAGTCAGCTTATTTTTTCCAAATCACTAGCCCACAAATATTTACTGAATTATCTATCATCATCTATTATATAATAAAAAATTCTTTGGCCTATATTGGGCTTCACCATATGGTAAACTCTGAAACCTTAAATGCCTTCAAGATGTTTCTATTGGCCGGGCGTGGTGGCACACACCTGTACTCCCAGCACGCAGGAGGCTGAGGCAGGAAGATCTCTGGCAGTTTGAGAGTGGCCTGGGCTATAAAGTGAGTTCAAGGCCAGCCTGAACTGAATCGTGAAACCCTGTCTCAAAAGACAAAAAACAAACAAGTGAACAAACAAAAAAACAGAAGCTTGTATTGAAGGATAAATGCCAACAGCATAAATTGCCATTTGGATACAAATAGTTCTGTGAAAATGGTAGGTCCTGATATTAATCTTCGAGTTTATATTTTACTTAATGGATAGGGAAGAGAAGTTTTTGTGTCATTTTTCCCTAGAGTTACTCCAAAGGAAGTTGGCTAGGACAGGCCTGGGCCCCTGTTGATGGGTGTCCTTGTATGAAGATGCTTATCCTGTGCTCTTAAGGCTTCAGGCTGAGCTATTATGCAAGGGCTTTGGCATGGGAATGAAAGCATCTCTGTTGCAAGCTTAATAGCTCCAAAAATGCTCCCCAAACAAGGAGGAAAAGTTATACCCACTATCTTGTAATTCTTTAAAAACTACTTCCCTTTACCAATGTGATTTTTAATTGCCTTTATTAATTTTTTAAGCTAAAATTTCAGGTCATATCCTAGTCATTAATTATACTGAGTTGTTTGCAAGTTTAATAATTACAGCAAAGTCTTTTCATGTAATCAGTGCCTTGCTATTAATTTTGTTTTAATGTCATACAAATATTTTTTCAGCTGATTAGGGTACTAGTATGCTGCCAAAAGCATCTACTTCTATCTAAATAGCACATTTGTATTCTGCAAGTTATTCAAAATGTATGAGCAAGCTTCAAATCCACTGAGAATATTATTCTTATATTCAGGGGTCTGGATCACAGCAGTGACAACATAGTGAAATTAAAACTCAGTGAAATTTAATAAAATTACCAACTGTTGAATCCATAAGCTGTTTGATCTCCATTACAATCTTTGGTTGTCTTCTGGGAAACAAGCTTGAGTTAGAAGGCTTTTTCTTTTACATTTTATTTTTATATTTACTTGACTAAAATGAGAACGTACAAAGAGGTATATAAAAAAAACTCCCCCTAACCTCTTATGCCCCTGGAACTTCCTCCAGGGAAATAGCATTAATTCTTTGATACCATCTAGAAGATTTTATGCTTATATGAACAGACATAAAGAACTTCCACTCTGGGCAAGAGGGCATAGATTTATCTGCACTGCCCTGCTAAGCATGGCTGAAACCCTTAGAAATAGCATGACACCAAAAGAGAACTTGAAGGTTAGAAAGAGGAACCTCAGGACCAAATGAACAATACAGCAGCAGAGCATTGTATAGCTTCTCTACCCCCACCCATCAGATGGTAACCCAGGAGCCCCTTCCCAACATCCAAGCTAACAATGGAAAACAGGTGGATAGACTTATTCTTCCTTCAGCTTGTACAAGTATCCTGCCAACATTAGACAAGCCCACAGAGACAGTAAGAGGTGCTGCATGAAAGTCTCCCCAACAATAACGGGCCAGAAGTGCTTTCCTTTCTCACTAGCTTGAGACTCCTTTCTTCCTCTCAGAGATGTCACTTAATAGAGGACACTGGGGAGGGAGATTCTGCCACAATAGGCACCCAGCGCAGGAAGTACTTTTGGTCCATTTCAGCTCCGCAGGAACCGTCAACAGGGACTGTGGGCACCTCACAGCAGGAGACAAACCATGCAGACCAAATTAGTGCCATAAACCTCAGAAAAGTAGGTTGTCATTGAACACCCATGAAAGTAAGCTAGGGCTTTGCCAAACCTAAGCACAGTGACTACTTATTACAATAAAAGATTTGAACAGAACCTAGAGTAGAAATATCTCATAGAATAAAATCATCCATCATAAAAAGAATCAAGAAAATCACAACTTGAACGAGAAAGATTATCATCTGATTCCTACACTGACATGAGACAGATACTTTGAAAGATTCAACAAGTAATTACCAAAAAAAAAAAAAATCTTGAAGCAAGGGAAAGCATAGAAAATCTCAATGTTGTTTTAAAAATAAATACGTTTATAGAACTCAGAGATAACAAAAAGTAACACTAATGGGTGAGCTTAACAGTAGAACAGAAGTGATAGAGAACAGAATCGGTGAAGTTGAGGATAGAGCAATAGAATTTACTTAGTCTGACAACAAAAAGAAAAAAACTGAAAATGAACAGTCTCAGCAACCTATGGGAAGTAACAAAAGATTTAGCACTTGTAGTATTGGAGTCCTAGATGATGTGGAGAAAAAGTATGAAATTCAAAGAGCCCTCAAAGAGTTAATAGCTGAAATTTGCCCAAATTTGGCAAAAGATATAAAGTTAGAATCAAAAACCTGGGTGAATCCTATCAGGAAAAACCCAAAGAAATCTATGTCAAACACAAAATAATTAAACTTCTAAAAGCTAAAATCAAAGAAAACATCCTGAAAGCAGTCAGAGAGAAGCAACACGTTATCTATAGGAAAAAAAATGAATGACAGCTTGTTACTCATCTGAAGCAACAGAAGCTAGAAGAATATATATTTTTCAAGGGCTGAAAGAAAAGAAATGTCAACTACAAACTCAATATCTGATAAAACTGTATTTCAAGATTTAAAAGGAAATGAATTATCAGATAAAGGAAATCTGAAAGAATCTGTCTGCAACAAATCTATTCTTAATGGCTTAAGGAAGTTCTCCAAAAGAATGAAAATGACAAAGAATCTTAGGTCATCAGGAAGAGAGAGCAATGGAGAAAAAATATGAGTAAATACAAAAGATTTCCTTTTCTGCATAAATTTTTTGAAATATGTATGATGATTGGTACAAAATTAAAAGTGAGAGGAAAAGGGAACTAAATAAGAGTAATATTTCCATACTATACTCAAATTAGAAAGGAGTGACTGGTATCAATAGACTATGATAAATCTTTCTGTCTCATTTCTGTCTCTCATACAAACACACACACAACACTAAGAAAATTGTATAAAATAATACTCTAGACATCACAAATAAGTTAAAATTAAATCCTAGAAAAATTGTCAGATAACTCAAAGGAAGACATAGGAA